CCTTCGCGCATTGTATGGCGCGCTATTGCAATCTTTTTACCTTGTCTGTGGGGAATTAGGCTCTCTATTTTGAAGCATTTTTTCTGATAATCCAACGCTAACTCAGGATAACCCATTTTGCGGTAAAGGATGCCCATTGGCCCATAAATTGAGGCAAGATTATCTGTGTCGGTGTTACTTCCACTCAAAAATATCTCTTCTGCCTTTGTGTAATGATGAAGCGCTTCATTGTATCGCCCTGTGAACATGTGAGCTATCCCAATCATTCTATGAATACTGCCAATATGTAAATGATTGTTTTGGAATATTTTTTGTGCCATTTCAAGAGCTATCTCATTATTTTTTATTGATTCATCATACTGTCCCACTTCTAGGCATACAGATGCTATACATTGACATAGTTCCATGATTTTCGGATGATTTTCAGGCAGAGAGCTTTTTGCTATATTCAAAGCATCGAAATATTTTCTTAAAGCTTCGGTATATCTACCAAATTCTATATAGACATTACCAAGTTTCATCAGTGTTAAAGTATAACCTTCGACGTATTTTTTCGGATTTTGCAAATGAATCTCTAATGCTTTGTTGTAGAACTTCAGCGCCTTTTCATAATCTCCTTCCTGTTCATAAATCGAGCCTATATTGTTGTATGTCGAAGTACAACATATGTGTTTGTCACGTTGTGACACTATGTAGTCATTTAATGCTCTTGTGTAATAGTGTAGAGCACGTCGATAATTTTTTTTAGCGTGGCAACATATGCCAAGATTGTTGTAAATCCTAGCGTCATCAACAATACTTTCTTCAAGTAGCATTAAAAGATACTTTTCTTGTTTCTCATAAGATCCCATTTCATAAAGAAGTGTAGCCAATTTCATGAGTGGCTCCGTTTCTTCATCGATTTTTTGTTTTAAATATCCACAGTAATCATTTGGCTCTGTATCAATCTCATTTATGGATGTTAGTCGGACTTCCCATATACTGTTATCAATTTTTCTAACCGAGTTCACTACAAACAGCATGCCCATGGCTATTAGCACTTCGTCTTCATTTAACATTTGACTCATTTTTGAAACATCTGCCAAAGGCTTATCGGATTTATTCACATCAATTATGATTTCAAAGAGTACCGATTCAAACAACGGTTGTTGAGAACCATCCCCAGCATACATAAGTGCCACATCCTTGTTTTTTGTGGTAGACAAGAATGGTTTCAACGAAATAAAATTATTTGTATTAAATTTAAGAGTCTCTAACTCTTTCGCAGCTACTTGTTGGCCACGATAAACTGTTAAAATGTTTTCCTTTTCTGATTTAGACTGATTGTGTAAATCGACCAATTGGTCATTAAGATCTTTTATGAAAAATCGAAACTTAAATATAATATCAATATCTTCAGTTTGAATTGCTTTATTTATGAGTTTATAGAGAAAACAATCTCGAGTATACCACCAAATTGCTGATTGAGGTTGATATGTTTTTTCAAATTGTTCAATTTTCCCTAATTCCGCTTTATTATCATGATATTGGACTCTACATTCGTTTAAGATATCTCTTTTTGACTTCTCATTTTGAGGTAGTTTTTGCAGAGCATATAATAGTAATTGATTCCACATGTATGATGCGCGCTCTTTATCAAAACCTTTTACTGAGCTAATCTTCGCCGTTTTCATTGAAAATATTACACATGACGTTGGACATAATTCCAGAGACTCTATATCGTGCTGCAAGTCATGGAACATACATTCATTTACTTTATAAATTCTATTACGAACAGACGGAAAATTATTTAACCAGTTAAATTTTTTGTAGTCAATATTTGACTTGTCTTGTTCATCACAAACATAAATATTTATTAATTGTGGAATATTGGAAACGAGTGGTATGAGATGTTCTGCTTCACTTAAAAGTAAAATAAGAAATACTTTTTCAAATGTTATCGAGGAAATAAAGTCAATGCATTGATCAACATCTTCAAAAGACTGAAAATATGTATAATGATTATTAACACCATTGAAGAGTTTGAGAAATGTTCCAGCATCTAAATCTTGTTTGGTATTTAAGAAGACAACGACAGCATCATTGGAATTTGAAAATGTTGAACGAATTTCAATATCAAGTCCGGTATCGTATAGCTTAACTTCACGAGTACCTACAGATCGATTGGATTCCCTGAATAAATCTATCACAGTCAAAGGAACAGTGCGTTTATCTTGATCAAAGTAATCAACCATAACCAGTGACTGCTAAAAACAAAGCTTATTCATGAATAGCAATTATTTATGGAAGTTCGTATCAATTAATAATTTTTATATTCTCGAAATTCAATGATTTCTACAGCATCATGCAAGAGAGCGAGGATAAAGATCTCAATACGCGTGTTCATATTTCAGGATATGCTGGGAATGGCTCAGTGATTCAATGCATCTGATTATCAATCAGAAATCAGAAGGTTCGATTCCTTCCCTCGGCGCGGTGTCCGTGATATCAAGATGTACGATAATTGAAGAATGGATTAAAAAGGAAAAACAAACAATACACGTGGAAAATAAAACTTGTCATCACTATGCCTCGATTTTCGATGTTATTATGTTCGCATTCTGTTCCTTGTATGTCTATTCTATGTATGTTATCATCATCTTTTCTTTCATAACCGTTCGCAAAAATGATGCAACCCGTGAAAAAAAAATTCGTATAAAAACGCGTTCCAACGCAAATTTTCAGCATAAAAATGCTGTTTTTGCGTTTAAACGCATCTTATTTTGTCTGAGACGCATCTAAACACATCGGTTTTCATTTACGACGCGTTTAAATGCACTTTTAAATATTTACAACGCGTTTTTTCAACTTAAAATGCCACCTAAAAAAGTCGTTCGAACATGTTTTATTTTATTTGTTACGACGCGTTGATTCGTTATGCATCTTGATGCGTTTTTTTTATTTCTTTCGCTGAAACGATGATCTCTTTACAAACGCACCTAAACGCATATTTTTCAACGCGTTTTTTTACTGAAAAACGGTTTT